ATTCGCAAACATCCTACATTAATTCAAAGGGTTTGGGTAGATAAGATCATGCAGGATTTTGTCCCTCAACCGAAAGGACCCTAGGGTAGGTATGCATTGAAAGCGGATGAGATGGGCCCCTATTAGGGATCTGGAGTATTTTGAGAAAATTCCACTTCAGCCATCCTGAAATAGGACTGTAAGCACTGCAATCAAGAAAGGATGCCTTTTAAAGTCTCTGCATTTTTTGTAAAAAATGCTCGGTTTAGGGTTTAGGGTTGCAGAAAACGGCGGTGCAACAATGCCAGATCTTTCCTCGAGGGTACTTACATGGAGGTGGTAGTGAAAGAGGAGGCCTACAGTTGATACTACGGTGGATACGAAAAATCCTGCATGACCCTAAGTACCATATACCTTGGGAATTATAGTGCTATAGTATATTAAGGTCATGCAGGATTTTTAATAACAACAGTAGGACTCCTGCAGGACCTTGATTGCTCGAATACCCCAACTCCCAATGTACAAGAAGCTTACGGTCGTGCAGCAGTTTTTCTGTCCAACGTAGATCCAACCCCAAACCCTAAACCCGCACCAGAGGTCCACATTGATGGGAATTGTTAAATAAACAATCTCCCATTTCAGGATCCCCACGTCTTCTACTGAGGAGAATGGGCTACAGGCATGCTTAACAAAAATCCTACAAGACTACTATATGGATCCATTCCATCATTCCATGGTAACCTAAACCCCCAACCCGGAACCCTAAACCCTAGACCCTGGACCCTTTTCCTACATGCCTAAACCCTAAACCCTAAACAAACTCCACGCTGCTTGTTTTGGGGGGTACTGACACGGCCAAGAAGCGAAACCGCTCGATCTTCGGTTGAAGACACCACCTGCGCGCCAGACCGGAAGGACTTAGGGTCTTCGGTTTAGGTTTGCAGTATGATTGAAAGTCCTGATTTTGAGGCTTAGCGCTCAAAGTTGAATTTGCAGGGTCCGCGGTTTGGAGTTCATGGATGTTTTTGGCCATAGGGTTTTGGGCTTAGGTCTTGAAGTTCAAACACAAGGTGTTGAATATTGGATCTGTGGTGTAGGGCCACCAACCAATGAACTTGTGCGCCGGGAATTCCACGCAAATACAAAACGCACATATAACAGACAGTCACAACTTCTGCGCTCTCGTATTTGCCACTTCACAGGGGAAACTTGCAGGAGAATGCAAAGGATGTTGTCTATCTGGTTCCCCATTTCAATCCCGCTGGCGTCTTCTATGATTTCCCTTCGCTTTGCCTATGTCTTTGAGCTCCGGATTGCTGTGCGGCCTTTACACTGGATACGTAGGCAGAAGTCCTACTTCTTGTAGCCAGCACCGGAATAAGCATGTCAACATTTAGCATCAAAGGTCATCCAATGCTGAAATTTGAATCAATGGCCAACCCTCGAACACAAATCCAAACACAAAATCTCGAATTGATAGGCAAAGTTTGGAACACTAACGTCATGTATGACGATAGCTATAACAGACTGTTAGATCGTACCTTTTTGGTTGAGGGTTTTCCAAGGTTTTGGGCTTGGGATATACGGCTTAGGGTGTGGCGGACATAGGGTACAGCTCTGATTGCAAAGTGAAAAACAATGCCTCCAAGCTGGCTGCACAGCTACTTTTTCATTTTTGTTACAAGTCTCCTCCCCCCGATACAAATCACCATGCCCACCCCCGATGTTACATGTTCTATGGAACGAGTTTGATGCAACGGGTCAAGGGTGTGCGTGTGACATTGGGGTTATTTTGCTTTGTTTCTTTTATGACGATGCGCATCATGCTAAAGGAACCTTGCTCATTTTTCTAATACTACCACAACCGCCACAGCTTCCTCCTCCACCTCCACCTCCTCCTCGTCCTCCTCCTCCTCCTCCTCCTACTACTACTACTACTACTACTGCTGCGCCTATTACTACAAATGACTATTTCTTTGTCTCGTCTACAGCTACCAACTGGCACAAATTTTAACTTCTTCCAAAACCCCAAATCCTAAACCCTTCCCTGAAGAACCCTAAACCCTGAATACTATAGTAGCTTCCCTTTTCTTTAACGCTCCCCCACTCCCCCCGATAAACTCTCGGAAAAACGATTGCTAAAAGCCCTTACATGATAGGGTTTAGGGTTTAGGGGTTTAGGGTTTAGGGGTTTAGGGTTTAGGGTTTCTAGGTTCAGGTTTTAGGGGTTCAGAGCTTAATTTCAGTGACCATTTTTCCTCTTGCTTCTTGATGGTAGAGATTGGGAGTAGCAACGCTTTAGAATGAGCTTTATATACCCCTGTAAAATCCCTAGCCTTGGAGATTCCCTTTGATCCCCATTTGACCCTTGCAAACCCCTAAACCTTACATCCTCAAACAAACCCTGAACCTTAAACGCTTGAACAAACCCTAAACCTTTAAACAAAACCTAAACCCTACGCCCCCAAACAAACCCTAAACCCTACACATTAAACTCTAAACCCTAAACCCTAAACCCTAACTGGTGCCTGAGCGCTAAAGCTCCCGAAAGACCAGCTCCCAAGAGAGCTAGGTGCCGGGGCTCTCGCACCCACTGGGCCAACCTTTGGGGTATAGGGCTTAAGGTAAAGGATCTGGGATTTAGGCTAGGGTTTTGGTAGGGCTTAAGGTAAAGGATCTGGGATTTAGGTTAGGGTTTTGGTAGGGCTTAAGGTAAAGGATCTGGGATTTAGGTTAGGGTTTTGGGTTTAGATTCAAGGCTTAGGGCTTAAGTTTAGGATTTGGGGTGCAGGGTTTGAAAGGTTCTTGCAATTTTTTCCACCCCCCAGAATAGAAGTAGACCAGTGGGGTGTGGGGCAGGGTCAAGACTTAACAGGAACATGGATTTGACGACCAAAACTGTAATGAAGCAAGTCAATGCAAGGTTCCGAAGCAAAGAAGCCTGGCATTTGGAATAATTACCCACTCTACAGGTAGTTCAACAAAGAACACCTGAGCCCGCACGCAACACACAACGTCGTTTTATGACCCCTATCTGCCACAGCACCCTGTCCCAAGGGGCGGGAACTTGATGGTCGGCACACCAGGCCACTGTACCAACAAATCTTGTAAGTTGTCTGACATATGGTACCTGAAGAGTACATAGAACTTTGGAGCAACCCAAAGCAGCAGTGCCTGAACACTACATACAAACGTAAAGAAACTAGAAAGTTCTCCTGCTATCCCACATGATCGCCCCATGCACCTAACCACGCCAACCACTGTAAGAGGTCCTTTGTTGAAAGGCACTCTGTTCGTCCGTCTCAGGGTTCTAAAGCCTCTGGGATTCAGCGTTCAGAATTTAAGACTTTAGGTTTGTGGTTTGGAAATCGAGACGTTAAGATTTGGGTTTGGAGCCCTGGGCATGTGTATGGGCACATACCCTTAATGCAAGATTTAACTCTTTACGGGCCCTATGAAACCCCACCAACTTCGGTTTCCTAGCTGGCAAAGTTGGGCTCAATCTAAGCTTCAACATATAGGCTTCTAGTCTCTGACCTTAATCTTAGGGTCCCTGTATCACTGTACGTATGCTTGTGGGCATGCTTGAAGGAAACGGCGAGATCGTTTAGGTTTGGGGAGGCCAGTAAGGAAGAGGAAGATGAAAATTGCTGGCGCTACTACGAGAGGGGTTCATGCTTTCATTCCCTACTGGACGCTGAAAACAATCCTGTGCTGTCGGATAAAGGATTATTGGCCCACCATTTCTGGGTCGGAACCTGTCTTGGATAACACTCCTCGTTTGAAGTTCTCATTATCTGCATGATCAGTTGGGCACCCGGCAAGGTAACTCTCACTTCGTGTTTATTGTACTCAACTCACCAAGAGACTGCGACAGCTGCATCATCGCCATTTCAGTCATCACGGGCGCCAACAACTATCGAGTACTGCAGCGCACCAGATCTACACCCGAAACCCCCTCAAACACTCAACCACACGTTTTGCTGTTCGAACCTACTTGCAGCGACGACTGCAATGTGGGATAACTCATATTGGCCACATAAACCCTAAACCCTAAACCCTAAACCTATCATTACCAACCCAAGAACCCTAAACCCCACGCATGTTCCCTCGAGTTGCGAGGTCTTGGCTGCAACATGGCCACCGGCAGAGCACGTTCAACAACTCGATGTTTTGTTGCATTGGGTTTAGGGTTTAGGGTTTTGGGTGTTTGCGACAACGGGCGATGCTGAAGCTGACATGTTTAGACAGGGTTCCGGGTTGAGGATTTTCGTAAGGCTTGAAACCATTGCAAATAGCATCCTGGATATACTGACTTACCTAAACCCTAAACCCTAAACCCAAACAAGCTGAGGCGGCCTTTGCTCAGGCTAACCTCGTCCAATCGCACGTCTTATCAGCGCATACCCAGATTCTCTGCAGCCCTAAAGCCCAAAAAACCATTTGCATGCTCTAAGAGAGGGTAAGGGAGTGGAAGATGAGAGAATTCGCACCCTAAACCCTAAACCCTAAATCCTAAACCCTAAACCCTAAGCCCTACAATACAGAAAACCCGGGCAGACACAAGTTGGAAGAGAATGTCTTGGCGCTTGCAGGTTCAAGCAGAAGTATGCAGACCCTGAGCCCTAAACCCTGAGCCCCACACCTACACACTAAACAGCAGTTTCCATGTTCTTTTCCATTACCCCTAAATAACCCCCATATGATATGCTCCCTAAATAACCCCTATAAGCCCTACATTTACCCCTATATAACTCTAATCCCTAAGCTCTGCGTCTCCAGGTTATACGGCCCTTTCCTGTGTTAAAGGTTCATATAAGGCCCACGTGATGATCAAAGAAGCAGCCTGTACTACGTTTGGAGGTGTTTTGGGGCAAACTATTTTCAGAAGTGCCTGCATCTAAAGTCTAAACACCAAACCCCAAAACCTAGACCCCAAACCCGAAGCCCTGAAAGACTTTGGAGCGAACCTTTTCACTTGCCCCCTAGCTTCGCAGTCCAAACTGCAAGCTCGAGCCGGCCTACCAGCTCGCAGGGACCAGGTAATACCTCCATGTTGGCTGGAGGAAGAAACCACAATCATATACAACATCAACTTGCTTCCAGGGAGGCAATGGCTCCCAAGGCACATCGACGGAAAAGGAGGTGAGCTTTCCTCCGCATGCCGCAGATTTGCCCAGGTTAGCCTCGCAGGAGCCGGGACTAGAGCGTACCGACAGGCCATCCTTGCTGCCTCCTTTCCAGTGTGCCGAAATGATATGGCAGGTGGGCGAAAGCCAGGTCATTGTCAGACTTGCGTTCGGCTGCTGAGTCTGGTTCGTGACATAGATGTTCTCACAAGATGCCTCCGTGGCACATACGACAGATGTCCACGGTAGGACGTGATCGGAATGGAGGACAACGGCAACATCCAAGGGCTCTGACTTCACTCCCACACGCAGAAACAGCTGCGGCACAGGTTCATTGAAGGCATCCATCCAAGAGCAGCTTGCCACCCCTACAAGATGGAGAGAGCCCCAATTTTGTTGCTGCTGTTTGAAGTCATCGAGGTTTAAGTCACAGATTGCCCCTGCGTGCTCGGATGCGAGGGCTCTACATGGTATCGTCATGTTTGTTTCCACGGGAGCAAGGAAGGACAAGGCACAGTTAGGAAACGACAAACCCACAAAGATCTGGAGCCAGGACGCCACCTTCAGATGCGACGAATCATGGATCCAAAGCAACCAACCACCATGCGTCAATGCTTGCTCCACTGTGACATTCAAGCCCGAGCTGTTCGCCTCGACCGAGTACAACCTGAGCAAGTGGGCTAAGAAGGGAGCTTGGACCTTCTATAAGCCCGGCACTACTCAAAAAAATGGGGGCTCCTTGTTTCGAGGATATCTTGGAAAGACCAGCTCGATCCTCCATGATTTCAAACCAGGCCATCGATTTTGCAACTTGCCTGTTGTAAATAGGAAAGAACGAATGGGTTAATTGGGAGACACTGATGATGGAGGAAATCTCCACCAGCCAAGCGCCCAGGGAAATGACTGCTGAAATTTCCAGGGATTATCTGGCTTCGGGAGCAGGATTTCCTACATGATGATCAGGCACAAAAATTGGCTGGTCAACTGCCGTGTCTTTGGCACCGCTCTTCCTTCATTGAAAACCTCCCTATAGCCCTCGAACTTGCTACAATACCAAAACCACAAAGAACCATCAACGCTACCCTCGCATAAAAGGTAGCCATTCCTCCTTTCCTCCTCATCGAGCCCTGAAAATGCTGCAGCCTGGCCGCTCCACATCGGCTGGCATTCCGAAATCAAATTGTATGCTGGCGTCCGTGGGCGCATAAGGAGTCTTTCCATCCAGAGCACGGAAATGGAAACCTTCCTTCTTGGCGACTACGTCGAAGTATACTTGCATGGACACCTTCTCTTCTGACGCGGCCTGCGCCACCATGTCAAGTGGCATCTGCAGCTTGGACACTTGGGTTGTTTGTTCCAATTTACGTGCGACAGACCCTGCCCGCATCAACATGCTCCAGTGGAGTTCATAGCCAGCATGCTGCAAGAACCTTTCCGTCAATCTGTGACTACACATGCCACACGTCTCTGCAGCTGGGGCCAAAGAATAATAACAGCCTGCCGGAGCTTGCAGAACTGTGGCCCATCCCCTGTCCTTCAAGTTCTGGTATCTGCACGTCACATTTGGTGCAAAATGGAGTGAGTAGCCGCACGGATCTCTGGAGGTGTGCGGTATGTCAAAGACCAAATGTTGAACGGAAATGTTGACGGAAAGACTGGCTATGTCCGAAGGAACATTTATGAAAGCCTTTGACTCCCTGGACAGATGGTTCCACGTTAAGCAATGCTGAAAAGCGCGGCCAGAATGTGTCTCTCCCCAAAACACCATCGATGTGGGGATGATGTCCATCTTGAGCGTTTGGATAGCATAGCTTGTGTGGCTGCAGCAATCGCTGACCTCAATGCTGGCCTGTACCGGGTAATTCCCTTTGTTCAGCCCGATCACCTCATTGAGGTTGTTGTCTTCCGTGTGCTACAGCACGACCATCTTTGAGAAATTGCGACCTCTTTGCGGGGCTGGCGCATTCTGCGGCAAACATAAAACCTCATTTGGGCCTCATTTTGGAACTGAAGGGTTGGGTGGGGTAGGTAGCATACGACCTCATGAAAAGAAAATATACGGAACGCAAAGCTTCGGATGCACGAGAGGATTTCGGGAAGGACGGCACAAAGCCCAGGTTCAGTCGGAATAGAGGCTGTGTAGTCAGAGTAGAATTCAAAATTGGCAGCCGGAGTGGCCCGAGCGTGAACTACCTCACAACAGTGTAAAGTAGACAGGTGCGAGCGGGCGTCTCTTTTCCACTACGCGCTACTCGAATTATTAACTCTCTAGAGCCTTGAGTGAGAGCGGCAACAACAACCAGCAGTTGTGTTACATGAGTGAGTGAGTGAGTGAGTGAGTGAGTGCGTGAGTGAGTGTCAGTGTCGACCAGCACTTACGGTGCGGCATGCCTCCCGCGTCATTCTCAACTTCCAGGGGGGCTCCGCAGGCGTCATCGCCCCCCTCCATCGCAGAGCTTAAGCGGGGGAACTAGCTAGTGCAGACAAGGATCGCCAACAAACACCATCAAGTTGGGAATCACGCAAAATCAAGCAAACATGGTAGATATTGCGCAAGAGCTCATCAAATGGCAGCCTGAGGAACGCATCGAAAGCACGAACAGATGTAAAGAGGCAATTCCAATTTTTACGCATAGAGAGCCCACCACCTTCAAGCATCCACCATATACAAGACTCCCGCTTGTTGACTGAGTGGGCCAGTGCCGAGGGAGCAAAACTCCAAGCACAGAAGGCCCAACCCAAACACAAAAACCGTGAGCCAAGCGCAGAGGGTGCGCGCATGCACCAGCACCGAGGGCTGGCACTGTGCGGCTACCAGCAGCCGTCAGCGGCCAAGACACAAGATTCCCCAACGCATCCATGGTTTCACATCAATATAGCAGGCATACACAACATAGGAGATCAACAGGTTGATTGCAGAAGGGGCTCAGCCCACAACCAATGTAACACGCGTGCCGAATCAGAAGAAAACCGCCACATCAAAAACTGTAGCAGGCAACTAGCAAACAGCGCACCTCCGCTAAGCGTCACTGATAGACATGAACTGTACATGGACTGATAGCGAAACAACAGGATGGTACCTATCTCAATCAGGCACAAGTTTACTTTCCTGCTACAGAACTGTCCCGTTGGCCGGCTATCCGGCTCTTTGTGTGAAACAGGCGCATCTACAGAAAGGCAAACCTCTAGCTGACAAGCGCAAAAGCCCTTACCAACCCTAGAAGATGCCTAGGGCATGGCAGAAACCTTGCATGGAGCTAAGCAGTCCCATATCTCCTCGTAGAAAGAGTCTTGGGTTCACAGCTAACTGGCAGGCTTACTTACCTTTTGTTTTGACCTTTGACTTGGTCTTGCCCTGGCGCTTCTGATTGCCTTTGGCTTTACCTTTCTGGCGATTTGTCTTTTGTCTCTCCTTGCGAGCTCTCAGTCTGGCTTTTTGACTGGAAATGGCACACACTTCCTTCGGTCCCGCGCAGATGTAAGATTATGCCGGGGTGTGAAATACAGGATGGTGTGACAATCCTTATCCTTGGGATTTAGGAACAGAGCTTCAATACCTGCACACATGAGAAACTCACTGACCTTGATGCTGTATTCATATTCAGCTGCAGGATGGCCAACCCACTTGTTCAAAGTTTGGTTGTGGCCCCACTTGATGACAAGCAACCACGTAATCCCCATTAGGATCTTCAGGGCGAGCTTTTACCTCAAGCTCACCATAGCGCTGCTCAAAGTATCTGAGATTCTCAGTAGCGTTGCCTGAAGTAAATCTCAGGTTGGGACTGAGGTTGAGGTCATCTCCCTGGCAGGACACAAAGGCATCCCTGAAACTTTTGAAGCATTGCTGGAACAGGGATAGCTTATTTGCTTGCTGCCACCGAACCGGTACGCAGTGGAATTACCGTCACCCCCTATGACACCAACCTGATAATGAAAACAGTCGGCTACCACGGAGCAGAGCATCTCTCCACATAGAGAAGGACTGTCAGCGGCGACCTGGTTGTTGAGGTCAAAAGAGCAAACGCGAACCACGTGCAAACCCACACCGAATGATCTTGTCCTTATTAGGATTTTCTTCCCTAAGCAACTCACGCTGAGATTCCTCGTCGTGAGACAAGTTCGCTCTTTCCCACTCTTCACGGCGAGGCTCATCTCCGAAGCAAATTTCGAAGATTGCATAGGTGAGAGGAGACTCCCCACCGTGCGAGCGCCTGCTATGTGGTTGACATAGGCACCTGGCCCAGGAGTGGCTCTGACTCCACATAAGAGGGTGTTGTCAGGACTGGCTGCAACTAACCATCCATGCTGGCGCATTACCTCTGTCTCAAGGTGGCGGATTGCGCCAGCTGCTTGCATGATGAGGATATGGACACTGATATTGGAGAGGAACTGCAAGAAGAGATTCCCACAAGTGGGATCTTTCTTATGTTCTGCCCATGTAGCATCCCAGTCAATGAGATGATGGAAGCGTTGAGGTGTATGACGCTTCCTTGACCTCTCCCAGTGACCAAAGTTCAGGACACGAACAGAGAGGTGAACTTGACTCCTGTTCACAACACGTGTTTTCTCAGAGGTACCCTGAAGTGGTTCAAGCCTCCTCTGGTTGGATCATTGGAGCTACCAGCAGCATCGGACGCAGGAGCAGACCAAGCGAGATCGCGGCATAGTTCCTTGAGCATTCTTGATGAACTATAAGAGACGGCGCAGCATGTCTCGGCAGTAACTCCTCTTGACAATGTCAAGGATGAGGCATTCCTCGCAAATGTGGAACATGGCGTGAGGATGCGCACATGGATACACATGTACAGGATGGGCACCAGAATGGTCCAGCTTGTGGAAGCAGTTCCTGTTACGCATGCGCACGCAGGCAAGAGTGTGGGAATTACGTAACTGCAAACCCCAAATTCCTAGACCAACCTTACCATTATGGTAATAATCGTCTATCACCCTAATAGGGGACCAACGGAGCCGTGTCTGCAAATCCTCTGGCTCTACTACATCTCCCTCTATCTCGGCAATCTCCCTTTGGTACTCAGCGATGCCGGCCAGAAACTCTAAAATGCTTTCTTCATTGGCCTTATTCTCCTCTACTGTCGGCATATCGTCCACATGGACTGGTTCCATTTCAGGCAAAAATATTTCTGGGTCTGGAATTCCGGCATTCTCTTCATCAGGACCAGTGACCAACTCATCACCTTCATTCCCTGTGATTTGCAGAATGCCAAAGACCTTGAAGATGTCAACAGGGACTTCTCCCGTTGGTTCATCATCAGGTTTGTCGAGCACTGTTGCAGGGCACTTCTCAGGAAGATCATCCATAATCACATCATTTTCTTCATCCTCAAAGTCTTCAATTGCGTCTTCCCCCTCATCCGTCGCCGAAGTGTGGTCTGTCAGATTGACCAATACACTGCCATCTTCATCTCCTTGTCATGCCGCGGAGCGTGTCTACTGCACTATGGGCTCCCAACACGTGAGTCTCGCCTGCCTCCTCCTGAGATGGGGTCTGATAGACCGTGGCTGGGTTCCGTTTTGGAATTTCGTCGAGAACGGTACCAAGCACGTCGAACATCACAGGGGGAATAATTTTTTCGATGCTCTCTGAGATGGTAATTGAGCGAAGAAGATCATACGACGCAAAATCGACAGACATGTGCTGTTTTGCAAACTCAGGCTCTGAGAAGTTGCAGTAAGACTTGAGCTCCTTCATTGCCCTGGCGACGAACAGGCTGGAGGGCTCAAACTCTGCCTTTTTGAGTTTCCTGAGAACACTTCGCAGGTCGAAGGGCATAGCATATGGTGAGGCATGTGATCTACTCCCCTACCCCTCATGTTGAGGAAGGCAACTGAGTATTGACGACGGATGGACTCATCATCCTTGCGCTTACGGAGGTAGGCAAAAACATCCTTACTGCACAGCTCGCGCATGAGTTCCACCACAAGGTCAAAGGCCTTCTTGATGTAAATGCCTTCATAGAACTTCTCAGATATGCGGGCATAATATAGCTAACTTGTCCTGGTACTCAGCATGTGCAGCAGCATGCCCTTCAGCATCATGACTGATGGTGGGATATGAGGCCTCTCTCCCCTTGTAAGGATTTCTTCACTTAGGATCTGCTCTGGCCCCCAGAAGAGATCAGCCGACTCCCGGATATTCGCAATCCTGTCGGGACCAACGAATCCATGAGGAACGCCGTAACCCAGACGGTAGTAGTGTCCATTATGGGGCTTAACGCAGCGCTCTAAAACACCTGAGCCCCAAACCCTACCTAACTCATAGGCGTTGCAAAGCACCTTGAGCAGATACCCTGACAG